TTAATCCTAGTCCTCGCGACGGATCCTGTTCGCTGGACTCGGACTCTTCGTGGTGTCACGACTCGTTGCCGTAGCTAGGATGTCCGGATACTTCGTCCGGAGTTGGTTCATGTCCGGACTTCTGTCGGGACGGATAGGTGGTGGAGGGTAGCGACCCCTCGCACCTGGACAGCTTCCAGAGCCCTCCATCCTCTTCGGTACTGGCGGCGTTTCCTTTGCGGAACGTTCGTACCGGCGATAAGGCGAGATCGGTATGATCCAGTGCGACGTCTAATGCTGTCTTGGCTTCCCACCTGATTCGGGGGCCATCAGCTGCGGGGTGGAGACGCCTGGTGACGTATGGCGTCTCCACGCTCCCTCGCGGGACTGGTGGCTACTTCCTTCGAGCGAGGCTGCGACTGATGGTCTGTCTAGGCGTGGCTGCTCTCTTCTCCCTCGGCGAAACGTTGATGGTGGTGGTGGCCGGATACGAAACGCATGAAATAGTGGTACATAACAAAATAATTAATCTTAGGTAATTCTAATACAATCTCGGACCCTGGAGTTCTTGGCCGGTACCTTTCGCGACTCTCCCGAGGGACGGTAATGCGTCCCGTATTTAAAACACGCTAGTTCTTTACTCGGGACCTTGCGACGTGAATTTTAACGTCACAACTCCCCCCTCCCCGGGGAGGGCCGACAAGGCCTTGCGCCTACGGACGAAATCTCTCCTCTTTAGGATTAACTTTTAACTTTCGCCCAGTACGGCCAAGACTCCATGCCAAAGGTCCCTCATTTTCAGGGCAACACAACAATGATAAATAGTCAAACGAAACTTACGTCCTATCGTTATTCTTAGTGACTCTTTTCTGCGAGTTGAGGGGGTTTTATTCCCCTGACGGGTATGATAAGTATTACACATTAGGGTTAACTCTATTCTGATAGTTTATTACTAAGATCAGGTACAACCAAGGAAAATTCTTATGAAGATACAGAAAAAAAAGGAAAATGAAAGAAAAATAAAGAAAGAGAAAGAGTAGCGAGAGAGACACGAAGCGGGGAACGTGGGATCCAGGAGGGATCATCCCCGGTACGATAGACAGGACTCTTATGAGTAGCGCCATAGAGCGTTACAGTAGCCGGTCGGTACGAGATCCCAGCGGTACTTTCTGGGTCGCTGCACCGTCCGTGTCGCAGTTTCTTACTCGGGGCGATAATTTCTTTGCGACTCCTTTGGCCGATAAGGTTCCGCTTCACGGGTCCAGCTTTCCGAACAGCGTGGGCAGCTCTTCAGCGTTGTCCCTGGCCTACCGCAATGGAAGCAGAACTCGTGCCGGACAGGCAGGGTGCACCTCGAGTACCGGTGTAGGGGGCTGAGGCAATTCCAGCACCCTTTGTCAGAGGCACTCTGGGATCGTTCCCTAGAGCGGCTTCGACGGCTCCGTGATGTGCTGGTAGCAGGCTTGTGCGTGGTTGGCGTTATTATCCGGTCCTGGCCCGTCTGCGTGGCATTGTCTACCTGTACTTTGGGTTTCGGAGGCGCTGGCGTTTGTGTCCAACGCTCCGTCATCCGTACTGGGCTCGTCTGCATCCCTCGCTCGAACCGTTTTCTCACGAGACGGCATTGGGTGGTAGCCTCGCGCGTGGTTGGCACTTCTATTATACGGGAACCGTATTCGTACACGGTGGGAGCCGGTAGTCTCACGCGGCCCTCATATTCCTCTCGGATGGCCCTCTTGGTTTCTTCCCACAGCTGAGGGTGTTGCTCCCGCAATGTGCGTAGCAGGGCCTCGAAAGGCCTGAGCCTCTCCCATCCTCGTAAGCGCCTGCGTGGTTGACGTTCCATCGTTGATTGTTGAACGATCGGTACCTTCGGTCTTAGGACACCAAGCGATACTTCGGTAGGCGATACTGGAACGCTGTGGACGATAGGCACTCTCAAGCTCCCTGGGCGGTATACGGGAATGATATAGCAGAGGGATGAGGAAAGTAAAAGGGTTTCAGATCTTGAATGTGGAATTTTCCAACCACTCGTCCCATCGTGTCCGATAATTCGTAAACCAGAGGCGAGATTGCGCGTGACACGCGAAACGAACCGTGGAATTTTTCGGCTAACTTCGCGGCGATATGGTGGGTGGATGACGACAATATCCTTAATCTTTTCAGAACTTTCTGTCCTACTTTGAAAACGCGATCACTCCTCTTCTTATTATAGTAACGGGATTGTCTTTGATACGCGGCATCCAGGTTGTCTACCACCCAACCACGCAACGTCTGTAGTTGTTCCATACGCGCGGACCATTCACCAGGGTTCGCCGGCTCGAGACTGGGATCTTCTTCCATCGTCTTACGGACCGATTCTACGGGACTCAAGTCCCTACCGAGATTCAGAAAGGCTGGTGTCGTTTGTATAGAAGAGTGGTACGCCGTATTATACGCGAAGCGAAATTCAGACAAGTGGGAGTCCCAATCACGATGGTCCTCTAGGAACGACGTTATCATTGTTTTTAAAACACGATTTACCCTCTCGACCGGGTTGGCTTGAGGGTGGTACGGAGGCGTGGTCGACTGGGTGATCCCATGTTCCGCGGTAAAAGCTCGTATCGTCTGATTCACAAACTCGGTACCGTTGTCCGTGAGGAGGACCTTAGGCGTGCCCCACCGGGACAAAACTAATTCGGTAAGAGCTTCTTTAATTTTTACTCCGTTCGCTCTACGTAAAGCACATCACTCTACCCATTTTGTAAATAAATCTTGTATCACTAGTACGTACGCGAAACCGGCGCGGCTGGGAGGGAACGGTCCCATTATATCTACGGCTATGACCTGCCAGGGTTGTTCAATTATTCTACGACCCATTAATCCGGCTGGGGCCGTTTGCTCCACCTTGTTCCGCTGACAGGTTTTGCAGCAACGCACGAAGTTCACGACGTTTTGGAACAGTTTCGGCCAATAATATTTCGTCGTTATGCGGTGATAAGTTTTTTCGATACCTAGATGTCCAGCCTGTGGCACGTCGTGATTTTCGCTCAGAATCTGATTACGCAGCTCTATTGGTACGACAAGTTTCCATGCTTCTAAGTTCGGCACTATCGCAGAGATGATGCGGTTCGGCCGATGATAATACAATCGGCCACGCTCGATTTTCCAATCCGGGAATTTTTGTGGGGTCTTCTCTACTTGAAGCTTGCGGTTGCGATACCATGGGTCCCGAGACTCTACGATATTCGCGAGAATTTCATCAT